CTGTCGATGATGATGATGATGATGAACGGAATCACTGCCTCGGTATTCGTAATCCTGAGGGAAACCGGAGCGATAATCGAGTTCGTACAGTAGTATCGTCGGAATCGAGTTGCATGTTCCAAAAAATGGCATCCTTTAATCAAGACTCTCCATCGACAACTTTTGGCGATGACCCCTTTGAGTCCAAGACGCCTTCGGGTGGTAGCCTTGAGGCAAATAGGTGTAAGCACTTGTACTAAAATTTCGTACTGACCTGGAACAGACGATGTTCCGTACACATCTGAAGTTACTCTTCTTTATCCACAGACGGTGTCGGTTCCGGCTCTGCCACTCAACTATGCTTTATGCGGGCTTAGTCGGCCACTCGCCAGGATGACTACATCCGTGCTTGCTAACCGAAGCGGTCGTGACAGATCTAGACAAAACTCACCTTTCTCAGCTTCAAGACTGCAGTATGTTGGGGTCGACTGCTTCAATCTTAATTGAACCAGACAACTTTACAGGAGAAAGACAACTGTTTATTGGAATCCAGTTCAATAAGCCAAGTACTGTAGGTACCGCGAGCCACTGCATCAGGCCCAATAGGCATTTGAAGAATGAATTGTTAAATATCTGGTTTCGTCCTAAACGACCTGAAGTGCTTAAACGAAGTGAGGTCGAGTATACGTGTTTCGGTGACAGCGTACATCGATGTCGGACACATGGCAAGGTTTGTTTATTTTTCAGCCCTATTGGATAACTCGCCTGCAGTCACGGGCGACTGAAATGTGTGGTTTTGAGTTACAACATTTTCTATCCCGTCTTTCCATACGGGAAGACAACACAGCCGCTTCCATACGTGAAAACCTGGCCAGCGTAGCCCTCGATATTGTTGCAGCACTAGAACCCCAACCACCACATTGAGGTGGTAGCTATAGGTCAAGTTAAGAAATACGGAAATCTTTCAAGCCTGTACTACCTCGTAGCAGTTGATGCAAAAGGTACAGTGTGAAATCGGACCCTGTAGCTATTGGTGATCCTCTTATGAAAATATCAATGGGATTTCCTGGACAGAAGACTGGTCTTGTTTTGAACACTGCACAATTGCTTATTAGCCAATTCAGCTGCAAACCAATTGACTCCGTGGGGTGGTTACCCATCTAGTGATCGCGGAACACAGAAAGTTGAAGCTGAACAATTATCGAACCTTTCAACACTCCAATTGTGGTCAGCTAATTTTTCAGTGTTATCAGCCTATGTGGTCAACGCATGGTTGTCGACCAACACTTTTCTGTTGTCTAATCTGCTACGAGTTCGCTCTTTCCCCGGGATATGATAACACCCAATCGGCGACTTCAGACTTTGGAACTCGCAAAACTTGTCCTGCACTTGAATACCAACGATAGATGGACAAACGTACATGCATACAGTTAAGTAAACTCGAACCGTTTATCTAGCCGCTCCACGGACCGGGAAAATCGAATCCATGGGTGTAACGTCCACCATCAGATAGTTGAAACCCAAATATGATTACTCTCAAGCAAAACTGTCACTCCTCGAAAGTGTATGCGACCAGTCACCTGGTTATGAGCAAGCCACTGGATCGATAGATTGAGCGATCGCGACGTTTTTGCTGAGGTAGACAGCTGAGAGAGACCGATGAACTTGCGTGAGTGAGCTGAATAAGTTCGTATCCCGACAACTCGGGTAGCTTTGATTCTCCAGGCTAAATCAAGTCTTTGAGATAAACGGAGACAGTGTGCCATTGCAAACGATCAACTAGGCTGATTAGGGTGAAATTTGGAAACTGAGGACTGAACGCAATAGACAGGAAAGCCATCATCCAAGATTTAAAGACATTAGAAAAATTACAGGGGAACCTTTGTATTAAAAATCTGTCTATCCTACCGAATTTTAACACAATCCAGATGACAGAACGTTTCCAAGTGATCCACCAAGTACTTGGGACCAAGCAAGAGTGAATTCATACTAAAACGCTAGTCGTAAATCAGATGGTTTTAGCGACATTTTGTGAAACTCGTACGCGTTTTAAAATGTGTTAGCACTGTGGTCATTGTGACGTCCGTGTGGTACATCTCAATTTATTTTCAAAATACGGGGTGATCTAGCAACCTGAACTCATCTACCCACACGTTTATGAGTCGGAGTGAATCATATGAAACATCAGGCAAAAGGCGCTGGGGAACAACTGCGTGTCCGTTGGTCCAAACACCTTACAGGCGTGTTTAACACCCCCTATCACGTCCGGCAAAATGTATAAAATTCGTGCCGGAATTTCAAAGATATGCTCACGCGGCATCCAAAAACGTTCCTAAATGTGCGGTTGTACGTGGCAAGCACTGTGTTCGGAAAACGAAGTCTGCACTTGGTAGAAATTATGAAAGCCCAACAATGTATCCTATCGTTTCGAATACGAACAGCTAAGTTCTGAACGGTAAGATCAGAAGTAAGCAAAGCACACTCACGAGTAAATCACAGATACCACGACCGAACAGATTTGTCCACCAAGAACCGAGAAACTTAAAAAGCGAAGGTTTTCCTAATATATCAAAGCTCAATATGCTTTTCCGGTGGAATAGGGACGTGGACAGCGATACATTAAAGTCGACAGTTTTGACATAGGGTTGCGGGCGACCAGCCATGTCTGTGTCGCTAGCCGTCCGTAGATAGCTACGGACGGACAATCTAGTAGCTATTGCAAACGTCGTACGTCGACGACAGCATCAGAGAACGACACAGAAGCTCCTTTGGAGACAAAGCTCGGAGTTGCATTATCTTCCAAGGTCCCTGTGCATTTACTAGGAACGAAGGTCAGCTCAGAAGAACAACGTCCCTAAAGCAGGAGGTGCACACCACTGACGTACCTATGATCAGTATCCTACCTCGTCGAATTACAACGGGGTCAGTGCCGAAAAGGATTGAGGATATGTTGGAAGGTAACGTTATATCATCGAACTATTGGCTGTTGATTTGTTCGCCGAGCTTGGAAATTGGACAACAAGCGTTTCGTTACCATGCGAGGAGACACTATCAATACGCGCAGGTAGAAGCGGAAAAAATACTGAATATGTTGTTCCTTTGTTTCCTGTTTTTTTTTAATTTCAAACGGTGCCTCTCAAATAAGTAAACGTTCCAGGAGAATTCCGCAGGCTACTTGAGTGCACGTTACCAGGACGTTATTCTTCACGTGTGCCTGGTGTACCTCGATGACATCATCGTACATGGCGCACCTCCAGTGAAGACCCTAAAAGCTCTAGAGGCAGGTTGGTTACTGGATTCTTACTGAGGTCGATCTCTAAGAGACGAACGTGTTCACTGTCCACACCAATCACTGCTGAAGTTCTGAAGTCAACGGATCTGGCTGACGTCAAACTGAACACTATAGGACCGTCGCGAATCTCTGGTTGCATCCAGTTTACAATGTTTCGGTTTGAACCACGTACATACGGTATATACCGCATATTCTGGTACGGTTTGAAATAGTGTGATATCGTGCCGCAACGCATGTCACACTATCTCTGATTTGTAAAGCTTTCGATTAACGATTGCAACCTTTGAAGCAACTATATCGAATCTGACACCAACATTATATGAACTGTGCGTAACTTGAGAAGCACAGTTTGAAAAAACCCGAGGCAACCGTGACATTATGCTGCTTTTTGGAACTCCGCGTCATCCGGACAGACTGATAAATCAAAAGACGCGAAGTTGATATTCAGAAAATAGATTCAGGAACTTACAAGCGAAAACGAAAAGAGACAAGGCAGGTCTGAAAAAAATCGGCCCATTTATGGGATGTCAAAGGATTACTACCACGTGTACTTCATAAACACGAAGTATACAATGATTGCGGTCGATAGAAAAGGGTGATTCCATGAGGTAGGAGGAAAATGACAATGAGAACTGTTTCGTATCAGTAACCGTCAAGTAAGCTAAGTTAATTTAGATAGAATCCGACTTCTCTTGTTGCCCGGAGCAGAACTGAGCGCAGTTCGTGTTCGGATTTGTATTCAGGTAACTTCAAATAGTGAACACACGTATTAACACTCGGGAAAGCTGCACTTCCTGCTTCTTTTCTTACGACACGCAGTCGTGGGTGTAGATTTTTTAAACCACCGGGTGGAAGGCTTGAACAGCCGGTAGTGAACTGTAGGAAAGCACGACGTTCCGGTAGATCGAAGTTGCTCAACACATTGATCAACATACGATAAGTAGGTGATTGACGGGTGAAACCAAAGCAAGGTACGGTGTAAGCAAGTAGGTCTTCACGGGTCCAGTGGGCCGAGGAATCGCCCCCAATCAGTTCACCGAGTTCCGTGCCGTTGAAGAGGGCTAACCAGCGCAACGGAAGGACACGTTCGAAACCAGCTAAATGGAGGAAAAAACGAATAATTAGACAAAATATACACATGTCAATTTCGAAAAGGAAAAGTTTACCAGCAAATATAATCTATCTTGTTTAAAAGACTTGTCCGTCTCGTGGTCACATATCAGTTCGATCTCGAGGTCCAGCATAACGTTTGAATGAAATTCCATGACAAGCCGAATAAATGTAGAGACATGGGAATCCGAATTCCGACTTGTGCCAACGTGAAATCCATGGGCTTTATGGACTCATGAAACTCCCTCACTGAGCGCACGCCTTCCATTGATCCCATATAAAAACGTCGTGATATTTAGGGAGCGTCGTGCTATGCTTGGGAAATTAGCATCGCCAGATTTGCCGTTGAAATTAAGCGTACACTGATTTTGTAATCTTTGGAGCTACATCTACTGGTACAAGCGGTTGGTACATAGGCTGAGGTGTGATCGGATAGAATGAACTCTACCTATCAACCAACGGTGCCGGTGTTACCAGTTTCTATCCAGACTCACTAGGTGCTGGAGGGGCAGGCATACATCGGGTGNCAACGTGAAATCCATGGGCTTTATGGACTCATGAAACTCCCTCACTGAGCGCACGCCTTCCATTGATCCCATATAAAAACGTCGTGATATTTAGGGAGCGTCGTGCTATGCTTGGGAAATTAGCATCGCCAGATTTGCCGTTGAAATTAAGCGTACACTGATTTTGTAATCTTTGGAGCTACATCTACTGGTACAAGCGGTTGGTACATAGGCTGAGGTGTGATCGGATAGAATGAACTCTACCTATCAACCAACGGTGCCGGTGTTACCAGTTTCTATCCAGACTCACTAGGTGCTGGAGGGGCAGGCATACATCGGGTGCTGGTGATATTCTCATAATTGTTTGACAGTAAGATACCATTGTCTCAAAACTTTCGGCATTATCAATGATCACGATGATAACGGATATATGGTGATGGTAGGAACCAACCTTTGAACATATCCAACTGTTTTCGTATGCCCTTGTCCAGTGCGAAGTCCAGGGTACGTAACAAAAACAACTCAATATTGTGGACAGTGACAGGTTCGACCTCTGTTTCAGCGCTAGTGTCATCCAGACTAAAGGTGAGACATGCCGACTGTGTGATGCCAGGCTCGTGCTCCCATGAATAGTGGTCGCATAATGGGAACCCGGCGGTACCGAACAGCTGAAAAATGGAAGTGGAAATGTGACAGGCATCACAGAAACAGTAACGGTAATAAAAGTCAGGAAAATTTCGATATTCAGATGTTTGTATTTCGCGAATGCCCCTGCCCGCTCCGGACACAAATGAAGAGAAGAGAAATACGTACATGTAGGAAGTTCAGGTGAACCCTCAACAGCCAGGGCCTCTCTATTTTGATCCATTGAGATGAGAAACACGGCGACCTCAACTTTTTCTTCTCTTTCCCAAAAGAGGGACCTCCAATCCTAAATGGACCACTTTCCGGGTCCCACAAACATTATCACCAGATTGTTGGAGAAAAATAGCAACCTCCTAAAACACGTGGAACATTTTGGAAATCTTGACCTTACTTCCATTGCCCAAAAAGACAACTGCTTGTCCAGAAATCAGGAAACGCGAGCACTCCTTGAAATGATAGCTAATTCTCTTTGGCTATGGTTCACCAGAATATTGGAATGCGAACTTTAACTTCGGTATGCACTCCTGCTACTTACCAGTCAGACTGACAACCGAGCTCACCACACAAGATAACGGACATGTGGATCGTGTATTAGTCTCCAAATATGAGGTGTAACCCGGAGTGTGAGCTCAACGATGGTCGGCGCAGTCATTCCAAGAGCACTTCGGATTTTTCTGAGCTAACCAGCTCGATGACAGCTCAGTTGTGTAACTGTAAATTCAGCTGTATTAATTTGCGCCCTCAGACAATCACATGATACAGATTAGGACATTTCTGTCTGTCAAAGTTAGATAGGGTGCAGATCCTTTCAGTCGAACGAAGAGACCTACAAGACACTATCCGATTAATCTGAAGCGGTTGAAGATAGCGCGTAAAAGTATAACGTTACTATCGGAAAAGAATAAAAACTACCTGACTTTTCGGGCGATAGATCACGTGTGTCACGGTTACCTATGACTTGGCAATTAAGCCCTGACACAAGCAACGATCGGGTGTTCAACTCTTCAGAGCGTGGGCATGGTACTCATCCGTAGTGGTGTAGTAGTGCGGAAGAAGCACCACTCGATGAGGATACACAGGCGCTCACAGTATGTGCAGCCATAACCCCACGGGGAAAAAAGCAGCAGGACGTTTAAGATAGCTAATTTACCAAAGACGCATCATAATGTTGGGAACGGGTTGGTTAGGATTCACAAGCACTTGTGACGTAAGCTATAATAAAGTTGCGGTGGGTGTCCGTGTGAAATATGAATCAAATTAGACATGGAAATAGGTTTTATGGTTCGGATTGTAGGGGGTTGAGTAGTATTTGATAAAATCAGGGAAAAACTTTGCAGACCACATAATGTTTCGTGAAGATGAATTCAACGATTAGGTCACCGCATCTGAATAATTCCTGAACTCGGAATATCAAAATGAATAGCTGCGAGCTACAAGAAAACAACCAATTGTAGTTCTTTCTCAAAACATGCTTCGAGGCGCCACATAGAAGTAGCCTTTTCCTCAGAGACAAAAGTGTATGCTGGAAAGAAAATAAATGACTCACACTAGAAGGAGGCAAAAATTCCATGCCAATGCACATATCCTCCAAGCTGCAGCCAAATATTTCGATCACCAAGTCTCTAAGTTTCTGGGAGTCCAAGTTATGCGGTCCTGCTCGCAAATTGAGGAGAAACTTCTGCCCGCAAAACTCGAGAACCTTTCGGAAAAACTGCGCACGATCAGGATAGATGAGACAAAAGTCATCCAGATCCAACAAATTCGCCAACCAGTGAGGTTCAGTAGACTGAAGTGACGTGTCGTTGTTAGCCTTGCATAAACGACGGTATGGGGCAGACAAAAGGAATTTACCAATATCGGCACTTGGATCTCCCAAATTAGTAGACCCGACTGACATGTAGCTGAAGGCACGTTCTAAGGCGTCGAACTTGGAGAAGTCGGTTCCAGATCGCTTTGTTTCAGTATTGGGCTCCGTGTCGGTAACGGTGATAGGCGAGTCACGTGAACTCGACATGGTTTGTGGCATGGTGACGATAGAACCATAGGCTGTTAGTAATTTGAGCATAGGTGGGGATAGAGGTAAGTCGATCCGGCGATTATCCTGTGACAAAAACGAGAGGCATGAGACGGTTAGTAATTGGGGTTGCAGTCATCTTCAGCTTTTACTAGTTGACGGAACACAAATGAATATTGGATACGACATCCATTCAACCCTATAGAAAGCCTGGCGAACTGTTCCGCAAACTATCACAAAACTGTATGGTTAGGCTAGAGATGATTGAACCATCAAAATTAAGTGCACATGTATAAAAAAAACGTTATCTATAGCCATTACCATTACAAACAGTAGTTGAAGCATTGCGCTCAAATGCACCACCACTGTCAGTCAATAAATTAGACCCAAGAAAACGACCTACTTGCAAACACTTCGCAACCGCGATCCCCATAATATAGAATCTATAAAGAACCTCTTCTGGTACTCGATCCCCAGGCCATGCAGCAGGAAACAGACCATGTGCGGTATTCACATAGGCATTAATTTCGATCCCAAGATCGATGCTTTGCTCACTCGGAGCAAAAGCTGAACTGGCTCCACCCAACTGGGACTGGCTATCCAGAGTAGCCACACTGGCCACGGTGGGCATTGCTGGACCGTCTTCATGTGTCTCGTAAGGTACGTAGCTCGAATCGTCGGTCACCCACATGAGTCCATCTCGGCGCCTCAGTTCGGCTGCGAGTAGCGAATAGAATTCCAAAGTGGGTCCCAGGCCTGTTCCGTCTTCTCCTGATGAAAAACGGGAAAAGTGGCGTTAAGATGAAATGAAAAAGGTGAAAAAATACGCACAGTGGACTCCCAATTCAATGTTTCGTGACTGGGGTCTCGTTGAAGAAGGGTTGTTTTAAGACACACTTGGACTTGGCTAAGGCTCAGCAGTGAATGACGGCATTTATGCAAATTGTACACGCAAACAGTATAAAAAGGATGACTGACACCAAGACTCACCTATGAACTGAATTTCCAACTCGGATTTTCTGCCCGCATGTTCATCCATTAACCGAGCTGCCCAATCCCAGAAATTGCTACCGGCTTGGCTTACTCTGCTGCTAGGAGCATCAACCGACTGCTTATTCGACAACTGAACACCTGGACGTTCAGTAGAATCCATTATTTCACGTGGCAAACGAGGTATTCGAACGAACTCTTTATGAAGTCGCCCAACTTGGTGAGTCTTTGTGTCTTGCTGTGCGGCAGTGGACACATTCGCCCGCACTGCTCTAGACAGTAGACAATTCCACAGTTCACGGTTTTCGTTCGGTCTGTTGTTGTTAGCTGCCAAAGAGGACACCAACACGTCAAGAAATGGAGTGTCTGCAGAGCCGTCGTCTACAATTGGTGTGGCACTGTTTGTGTGCGTGGGGTTTAAAACTCGCGTCAAAGTGGTTGGTCGCAAGACAATCATATCAGAAGAGGCGGGCGTATGTTGAGTGCCAAAAGCTGAACATTCTTCAGAGCTGCTGAGTAGCGAGGAGAGCAGAATAGTTCGGGCGTTAGTGGATGTGCCCAGACGGATGACGGTCTGATTGTTATTACTTGATGAGCTAACAGCGCTGTATGATCGACCGAGAGAAGCCTGGGTTCCAAGCACTTTGGCCAAAGGCTGATTTTGTAGCCAATGAACAGATCTGGAAAATAACACAAGCTTTGAGCGCCAAACAGTTATGGCATACAGTGGAGTTATACTTACCAGTCACAGAGACTGTAGTAACCATAGTGAACTGTCAGATTCCTAATACAGAACGGAAACCAACCTTGCTGGTCCGAAACCAGAAGCTCGTAGCAGTTCAAGGCGGGCAGTGAAAGTGAACAAGGGACTCAACCAGCGAGGGAGATTGAAGCACCAATTGGGTAGAGTGCCAGTAGCCAAGGCCATAGGATCGTGGATTTGTCGGAGCAACTTCTTGGTCAGACGTCTCGAAACAAAATCCTCTGCATCAATCGGATTAGCAGTGCTTAGTAAGGTTTGTGTGGATTGAAGCCTTTTCCGTTTCCCGATCGGGGTAGACGTTCTGTTCAGTGAATCCGCGAAGACAGGATCGCCGGTTGGATGTGGAATCCAAGACGGAATATCGATCCCAGAGAGCTGATAGAATATTCTGAGCAAGTTCAGTAGGTTTTCTGGTGTTGTGGAAACCTGTGGGATACCATCAACCACTTGTTCCGGTATAACATTGCTGGAAAAATCTTCTGTAACCATAGTCACCTGAACTTCACCGGCGCTGTACGAGATAGTATGTCGAGGAGATGGAGTCAACCGAAGATCACTCCGTTTCAAGAAGGAACATCCATCTGCGTATTGCTGAAGCAGAACAAAATGAGGTGTTCGTTACGGCAGAGACATGTGGTGCCAATCGCGTACGTGGTACTGTTACCTCATTTCGAGGACACAAACGAAGGTGTTTCTTAGGCACGACCGAACGCACAATGCTCTCAAAACTGTGCTGTCAAGTTGGCGAACTGGCTCGCTCACTTTGACTCGAGAAAACTCTGTATTCGTGGTCCTATCCATTTTATCGTCTCTGCGGACGGTATCTGCTTCCGGCCGCGTGCAAAAAAATCAACGCGACAAAGAGCAAGCTCAAATACGAACACTCCAGGTCCATAAACATGGGGTTCTAACGAAAAAACGATTAAATTGTTCAAACATTCAACTTCTTCGGCACACGGCTGTCCCTAAACACGAAAGGAACACAAGGGATTGGACTGCCCAAAAGAACCCATGAAACCTTTGACCACGGAATCATCGTTTGATCACTTAGCTGCGTCAGTATCTGACAGAAAATAGTGTGACTGTCAGTCAAGCAAAGTGAACTGCACATACCTGAAAGCGGAGGATATCTTTCATGGCAATGCAGTGGAATAATTAACGTAAAAACCGAAAAGCTGAAACAGGCTGACTAACCATCCCATACAAAATAAACTGAACCGAAAAAGGTCTAAGAACAGGAGCGGTACTGAGTAGTTGAGCAGGGCCAAGATCAACACTTACTGCAGAACAGCGTCCATCAGCCCCGATTTCATCTTCCGGGAACCAGCAGCGATAGCCGAGTTTCAGTTTGTACGCCTTATCGCTTGTTTTCTGTTCATCACCATCTCTTAGAATTTCATACACTTGCTAGACGAGAAAATAGTGGGTAGGCAACAGAAAAAGTAGGGTCAATAAAATGATGTCCTTCCAGAAACGAGGGAAGTGATCACGATGCAAAGAGAAGTCTGTTGCGACAAAACCTACATGTTAACTTAGGATCCAGTCCACAGAGTCAAGTGTTCAATTTCCTCAAAGTAAAGCTGAAATAAATTAGTCACGAGATTCTGTAAACCGGCATTGTGAATCATGCAGCCTCAGAACACCGTCATCATTGACTTATCATCATTTCTAAGCAATCACACCAGAGGGAAAAATAGAAACTCGCGTCCCTACAGACACCCACAAACCAAACACTGTCTGCTGATGTGCAGTAACATCCAAAATGTAGACATATTCTTTCAACAGTTTTATTCACACCAGATGTAGCTTGTGCCAAGAGAGAAAGTTTATGGCATTTCCATCCGTTGATAGATTGGTAGATGCTTGAACATATGCGCATCAACTAAAGGCACAATGTAGTGGGGGGACATAAACGCGTATGGACGGTAGAGTACAAAATAGTCCGTAGCTTATGAACCCAGTACTAGCATACCGTATTCGAGGCACATACAGCTCCACGCCGGCAATCCGGGTAACATAAAAGCCAGTAAAATTGCTGGTATGTTTAACTCATTGTCATCAGCCAAACACACGATCCCATAAACTGGAAGATGGACCGCAAGGAAATCATCCAGATATTACGTTGTCTCATTGAATTCCATCTGTTAGGTCACACTTGTGTATCCCGGTTAGTTGGATGTTAACATCGGGAAAGGCAGGCAAACGCATACAAATTGGACAAAGCTTGACGCAGAGCAAGTATCTAAGTATACGGATATGAACTAACTATCCTTGAGAAATCTTGGATGACGTGTGGGAAAAGTTGCTAGAGGATAGCTGATATCCGTTCGATTTCCAATCCATCTACAGTCTCGAAAAATGTCGAAATTTCGCTCACCAGTGCAGCATTCCCTCAATATAATGACCTAAAAAGAGCAAAACTAGTCATACTTTAAGGGCCCCACAAATGAGAAGGCCACCCATAAAAGAGGTAATCATCCAAGAATATTCCAGACAAGAGCTTCAATGTGATTGTATGCCTTTTACGAAGATACATTGAGCCGATTGATGCCTTTTAAAAATAAAAAGACACTCCATTACGCAATATGGTCTATAAAGTAAACAAAAGTGCAGCTAAGAAAATCTCGATCGCCGACATTCCGGCTACGTTGCTCTGTTCGTCATACTGATAAAAAAACTAGATATCATAAGCCGACGATATCCCGACTGTTTGTGTGAGGTGGGGAAATTGAAAGCCTAACTCACGTGACAGACAGTGAGGACCACGCAACTGTTGAATTCTGCCCTACCACATTTCATCCAAACGTAGAATACTAGTGAAAACATATTACGATAGCAATCAAAATGTTGGAGAACGAATGAGATGTTGAAGCGATCATACTGCATGGCTCATCACAACGTGAAGTAACATTTCCGCAGAATACAGATACGAGCAGGTCAACGTCACATGCGTGATGGATTACCACTGAACTTTAAATCCGCTTATTTCAATGATGAAAAATAAACGATAACGTAATTGCCTGTGGAGCTTTACAATTTTTGAAAGTTCTCACGAAACGTAATCTAAGGGTACCAATTACAAGGAAATCACAACAAACGAACCGAAACGCGACGGGCCACTTAACACGCAGCTAAATACGGATCGTGCTGTCAGTAAATACCTTGAAAATGACTGCAGCGACAGATGTAATCTTGAGTTAAACAATCCTACCAGGTGATCCTTCTGGAGGGCTTACGAAAAATGATGACAAAAAACAGCAAGAAATATCGAGAGATTTGAACTGTCAATTTTCCGGGTGGGAATTTTAAGTGCATCTTATCAGCTTCAAATGGATGACCTGCACACTAACGAAAAAATTTCGTGAAGAATATCGAGCAAACTATCTGGAAATGTTAGAGTCGTCCCAAGAATTTGTGAGGTGCTTACCGTTGGCGAATAACAAAGCAGCAGTGCGTTGACTTTAGGCTTTTCACCACAGACTGACCTTAATTACCAGTTGAGGTCTATATGAGATTTTATACTGCCGTCGTGACTGAGCACTTTCATGCAGCTGAAGATTGACAGCTCCTAGTAAACTTCATTTTCGATCACTTATTGTCGGATTCGGTGCAATCGACCTCTTTCGTCATTGGTTTATGAGCAGTCATGCATCAGCCGTGTTTGCAGTTTCGCTTAATCAAAATCACCGAAGCGAAAAACGATCGTGTGTTGAGACTAAAACTATGGAAAAATAGTTTATCGTAGTTGACGTTATAATGAACTGACGTATGATACCGCAGTAGAACGTTGAGGAACGTACGGTGCTCACCCCAGAGAGGGGGTAAATTCTAGGAAGCGTCCACCACACGTGTCATCCGTCAAAAAATCGATCATCTGTAACACCCTTTCGGTAGCTAGCTTTCATGCCACCAGAAGGAAGCACGAGGGCTGGGATACTGCCACATTGCCCAAGCCTAGACAGGAGAAGTAGAGGCAGAGGTCGGGCTCGAACCATGGATTTTCCGGTCAGTAAATCTGCGTTCTAACCACTAGGCCCTTTCTATAGGACTTCCAGAGAAAAATGACGTCAATGGGCACTATTTAGTCTACCGAGTAGCTCAAGCAGTTTGTTTGAGGCAACAACAGACAAGTGTCATCCAGAGCGAGGCCATTCGGTATGAATTGCACTATGCTTACTTTGGGGAGATTATTGCATGTTTCTTTGTAAAGTCGCAATCCCCGTAACCATATTTTGGCAGGTAAGATATTGGTTCGGAAGTGAGTGGTGGCTTAGTGGACTGAGTGCTTGGATTTGTATTCATGAACAATGCATTGCACCGTGGTTCGAATCAGGTATCATATCAGAAAGTGATTGCAGAGCGTATGGGATCACATAGAAAACTAACTTGAATATAGCTGAAAAGCGTGGAATCCTTGTTCTTCATAAAAATTTGAGCAACGCATTCAGTATCGCGCATCACAGATAGCTGGAGGACCAAACATTGTTTTTGGGAGTTTCCTGAAATGAAGACAAAGAGTGGTGGAATAAGGGGTGGCTGAAGCACAGTGAACGGAGAAAATAAACCTCAGAAGTACACTGGACCAGCACGATCACTATTCCCACATCAAGTTGCTCGTCCCATTTACTTATGTAATACATGAGACAAACGAACCCTGGACTTCAAGCAATATTGACCAGAAAACAGAAATTACTGGGAAGACGATGGAACAAATGTCAAACTTCTCTTGTGTAGCGAGGACCACGTGCAAACATTCAATACGGCTAACGACTACATTCGTATGCTCGATGGCTCCAACTTCCCGGAACCCAGTACGCGAACAGCATCACAAAGGTTTACGCGACACATTTCTCCACAAAATGGTATTCCACACTGTATCCATTTTCGCCACTTTCATAGATCCCCTAGCCAAGAGAAACTTATGCGGTGACAAGAGAAAGTTAAGTGAGATTGGAGGGAATATTCAGCAATCGGATGTAACCGGATGGTATGGATACCGACATCGATCCTGAATAAGTGCATGTTCTGTACTGGCGAATCACCAGCAAGCATCTACTTCCATAATCCACATGGCACTGAAGTTCAGAATGAGCCATTCAGAAGTTTCGCCACACTCAAGCTGCTGAGCAAGGTTGTTTCCCCTATCAGTTTCTACAGAACATGCGCTCATTCAGCCGGTGACACCATCATGGAGTGAACCTGGGTTTTGCAGACAACGGTGTTCCGTTATTTGTGGGCCATTCGTCCGCACAAATTACTCTACAGAAAAAAGCGGAAACGAGCACTAGTTTCGGCATGCACTTTTCACCTTCAAATTACGAAAGATTTCCCATCCACCTTCGAATCTTCTGGAGCTTGGGCTTTTGATCGGTCTAATTATCTTGACGGCGGCGTACATTGTGGATGCACGGAGACAGATCGAGTCAATGCATGCACTGTTAGGGCACCAGGCATATTCGCCAACATACGTCACTTTTGACTACAGAAACCAGTATCACTAACGGTGAAGCACGGTGTTTAAAATAGGAGAGTAATTTTTATTTACGGTTGTCAATAGTGGCTCATCCAATCCGAACATCTTGAATGTCTTCAACCACTTGACCATCGATGTTTCTGTGGCGCTGCAAGACGTCCGTAATCAAACGGCCCGTGAACGGCTCCGCATGATTCACCTTGGTTAGAATCCCCGGAATGCCTTGATACGGCTTGCCTGTCGTTGTGTGGCAGACTTAGCTTAGGTCGACAATATTCCAGCGCGCTGATGATATGTTGCTCCAACACGATTCACAAAGGCATCTATCTCAGTGTTTTTGGAAAGTGTCAACATGTTTCCCCCCTAGGGATACAGGACTTTTCGTAACAGGTCCCCACCTCTACTCAGGCCTCCCTCCCCAATGGTTGTATGGTAATTAAGCGCGTTTTCCTTACTGGTGTATTGATGTGTGCGATGACCATGATGACATCTACCTCACATGACCGACGAAACCACAACAAAATTTGCTGCAACCAGCTAAGGGGAGGTTAGATACATTTTAAGATCCGTTGTGCCTTTGAATGCACATATTTTCCAGGCTCCAACGAGGGCTGGACACTTGTATTCAGGCAGTCTGGAACAAACCCCAAAGGTTTTATCTCAAATACTGAAGAAATCTTGATGCAGGGTGAAAAATCCCCATGACGTTACTTCGAACAAATTGAACCGAAGCAACTTTTTCAATAGATTATCTTCAGGTTTATGCAGATAAGGGACGGGTTAAATCGATTGGAACAGAGTTACCTTCAATCAAGCTAAAACCAGTAAAAAAGAGGTTAAGCTGTTCCGAGTCCCGGGTGGTTAAGAAACCTTTTCCAGTCCCCGAGTGCTGGTGTCTGTGCACAACTTTCGGATGTGTGGGCGAGACTCTACTTTGAATCGATTTCGGCACCCGGAATGGGAATCAGCATACATTTGCTTTACACACTGTTTCCAAAAAAAACGACCTGAGGCGGTTACATAGAATTCAACAATGCATCATTCGCAACAGGTTCTGGACGGTTAGATTGCGTCTGCTTCTCATGAGCAGAATTCAATTACCACAGTCACACTATCCACAATACGGATCTTCCTGGCTCTGTCATACAGTTCATACACTATTTTCTACCTGACTTTGGGTTAGACGAAGCTGGGAAATGCTTGAAATGACCAATTTTGGCGCAGACATTGTACGTGGCATTTTTCTTCACGTCTCCAGGATACACAAAAAGAACAACAGTTTTTTCTGCTACATGTAAATGAGATGTTTGTATAACCATATTTAAAACTAGATTTAGTGACTCGCTCATTGGAAGAGGTGTTTTATACATTAGGGGGGTAGCCCACGTAGAGGAGGTAAAGCTCGAAGTTCGACATCAACTCCGTTAGTACGGTGTTCTCGGTCCACTAAGTAGTAGGCCACCAGAAGAGCTCGTGATAACCAAGTTCGTTCATCTGTGTTAGGGACCACTGGAGGTGGCGCAGTAAAAATCGAACGGCCGAACCAGTAGGCAGCTCAGTAAGCCGTTGCCGATGTTTCTTAATTTTCGGCGAGGAAACGGTAAGACGTCCATAAAAAATTATGTGAAAACACGCTGTGCGAATCATTACCTCTATGGAGCTACAGGTTCGTGGACTACGATTAAGAACATCGAGGCCTTTGAAAGGATGGTCTCGAACGGTCGAGACCACAAAATATATTCAGAGACTGTGTTGTTCTATGAGCCATAGGACACACGAGAATAACAGGAGACATGTGGAAAAAGACAAACTGACCATTGATATTGGGGATTGAACACATCGATCTAACATCGGTCGGAGCATTGCACAGGACAAATAGTGTGGTTGCAGGCGCATTGGTATAACCAGGATATGGATTAAACGCCGGTATAAGCCCATTGGGAAGACGAAGCATTTCGACCGCCTCGTCCCACGTGAGAGCTTTGTCGCCAGCCGGAGTGCTCGTGGTCTTCAAATTAACAGCTGACGCCTCTGAGGTAGTGCTCGATTGTACGATTGGTCTGGGTCGAGGTCTCCGGGGACGCCGACGCTGTTGTCTATTGGATTTGGAAGACAGGTGAGAAGATGCACTTAGTCTATATTGATCATCTTGAGTTTCCACTCCTCGTAAGGATTTCCTAACATCCGCTTTCGCAGTGAGGCACGTCTGACGGACCGATCCCCGGGCAGAGTGTAGCGGCTCATCAGTGTGTGAACTGCGTGTAGTTCCACTACGACGAGCAGTCGAAACCTTTGCCGTTGTACTGTAACCCTGGATGGGCAAACAATGATATAGATCAGATAAAAAAAGGATTGAAGCCAGAACCATAAATGAAATGCTTCCTAGAAAAATGGGCTGGCTAATATGGATGTGTGAGTAAGCGGTTTTCGGAATGGTTCGCAGATTCGATTCAAGCGACTGAAGCCTGTTAGAGCCAGGCACCGACATAAATTTGTCGGTGCGAACCAGCTTATCTAACTTTCCATTGCAGTACCCAGAGACTCTAGTATGGACAAAGAAAGGTGATTTGGATTCCAAACTGACTTCGTGCATGCCAAACACATTCTATGAGCTGAATAGGGGCAGATATCAACGCTGATTCGCCACACCAAGACTTAACTAATCGATATCGGAGACCGTCCACAGCAATAATGACTTCTTTAATAGGTCAGATAAACAAGGGTCCCTATCCAGTCCTGAAATCTGGTATCAGCTGAAAATAGCCTGAAAACCATTCACACATCTGGAGAAGCATTGGTCAACAAATGACAGTAACTGAGCAAATATGACTAGAGGTAGACTACCTGACCGCTTGGCTCTGAGGACAACTCGGGATCGGACACCACACCCTGATCATCCTGCATTTTTCTGAACCAGGTGAGTTTGGATGCAACTTTTGCACCTTCTTTACGCTCACGATTGTCACTGCGAGGGAGTGAAACATGAAGTCCAATAGATTGGTGTCCGGTCTCAGGAGTGTCTACAGCGCATTCGTATTCTTCCTTTCTGATGGGAGGAATAAGGGAGGTGGCAGTAGTCGCGGTAGTAGTGGTAGCAGATGCATTAGCCGAAGCAGTCAGATGATCGACAAAAGGTGGTGCATTGGAAGAAATATTGCTTTCAATGATCGCCTCGACAACCTCGGCGAATTCCAGAGCTTCCGCATCCTCAGTAGCCGGATCGAAAGCATCGGATGGCTACAGAATCAGAAAAGTGGCACAAAACGGTATAAAACCAAAAGTATTATGAGGTAACACATAGGAAGTTGGAGGTTGCAACATGATAATGCGAAGGTATCTAGTACGAAATACTGAACTGCACCAAGGAAAAATTTCTGCTGTACTTCTTGAGGTCCAGAAAGGACAACAATGATAGGACATATGTTGACGTACAACACGGAACAATAAATTGCAAACAATCCGAAAAGATAGTGAGACGCATACTTGGAATCGCCGTGTAAATGCATCAGTGGATGGTTCCTGATCAATAAACCACAAGGACTCGTGCGCATTCCCATCGCCATGGCTTGAGACCACAGAAGTGGTAGACAATGTCTTGTGTGGCCTCAACTCTTCGACGGACTCGATAGGAGTGTAAGCAAAATGAGAATCCGATGTATGCATGGCTTTCAAATAGGTGTCTTTTGTGGATCCGTCATCTTTGTCCACCTGATTCGAGGCTTGGTTATCTTTAGTGGTTGCTGCGTCCGGAGCCTTGATTGACTTTTGCGAGGATAGATGGGAGAGCGATTCATCTAAAACAAGAAAGAAAGAGAGAATGCCCGTTTAAANGTGTCTTTTGTGGATCCGTCATCTTTGTCCACCTGATTCGAGGCTTGGTTATCTTTAGTGGTTGCTGCGTCCGGAGCCTTGATTGACTTTTGCGAGGATAGATGGGAGAGCGATTCATCTAAAACAAGAAAGAAAGAGTGTATGCCCGTTTAAAAAGGAAAACCGATGTACTATCGATGAACTCTGTGGGCTAACATTGACCTTTAGCGGCGTAAAATCACCTTAAGTACTGAAGAAAGTTCTCCCTACTTTGGTCAGTTTTTGTCACGTGTCCAAGTAGCGCCTGTTCATCCGATATGAGTTAAATTCTGCGTCTATGGAGAGTGAAGTTACGATACTCTCGGCGGAACTGGATCTCACTGCAATGTGACAGTCTGCATAGTTAAATAAAGTGAGAAGGTGCAGTGGGGGACAACCAAGTGACATCAACAAACGTCGCATTCCAAGTTGATCACCAGGCGAAAACTCAAGACTACCTGCACCGTCACCCACACCAACTAAATGGCGGGCCTAACTCTCAAGCCGAGTTCGGAGTGTAGTAATCGAAATAAGTCTGAGTTTCCAGGCTCGGGAGTCAAAACGCTCCACTTCCTGGTCCACGTAGCGAACAGTGAAGTGAAGTAAAACTTATCTTCCACGATTTGGAACCTGGATACAGACCGAGAAGATGAGCTTAAAAAGCAAACTACACTTGTTGCAAAGGAACTTTAATGCTACATGACGCACATGCTCGACTCAGGCTAGTTATGAGAATCCATAGAAGCTGGAGCTGGTCACAAGGGGTAAAACAAGAAAGTCGACGCAACCATGGGACCGGACTCGTAGTTAAAAATAACATGGATTAAAGTAAAGTGGATGAAACAAACTGCACCAACTCGAAGATGATGGCCGCCACATGCCGGCCGTCGCGAACAAGTTTTTATGACATGTATAAGCGCCTATGCCCAAAAGCAACTCAAAAGTGCTGGGACCAACTGTTTGAAACAGCAGCGCAAAAAGAAAGTTGGACGCTACCTGGTTATCCATTGCTTCTCGCGGAGAACCTAAGGATTACCAAGCAGTGGGTTAAGAATTTTCCTGCATGCGAAGATGAAGTCATGATCCGACCTGGAGACCATGGTAACACAAGCGCACTCGTCTCTGCTGAGACTCGCCAGTTCTATCACCTGTGTGCCAAAGCATTTCGGGATCGACCACAGTTGAGCAATCTCATTAGGAGAAAGATCGAGGTTTAAAAGAAAATAACGCAGCCGTTTGCCCATTCTCAAGGTAAGCGTGCAATATGTTTGATACGGTAGATGACATCCGAAAGCTGGAAAATTTCCGCCAGTGTTGCCTTCATAAAGTGGTGGAAGTTCACACCGGTGGGGTTCAAGGACGATTTCCGGAAGTGATGCTACGGTCTATTATGTCAAGGTACGCTTTTTCGGCGATAACAACCACGACAGTTCAGGCAATTTTAACACAGGAAACATGAAACAAATTAATAATTGGACCAAGATTATATAAGCTGAAATAATACCCTCCGGAAACTTGTATTAGGCCACCTGTATGATACGAAAAAATTCCTGAAGTCAACTAGTTTTCTCATCCTAAAAGAACATTAGTGAATGCATCGTAAACATATGTTTCAGTTCAGACTGCAGATTTGCATGGGTCTCTCAATACACGAAATCAGCGACAAGTCAGTAGTGTCCGTTGGGATAAAAAGTGATGACATGACTACAGATAGGCAAGGCTCTGGCACAGCAAGCCATCCAATAACTGCAGCGAGGGACTCCGTGAGAACAGTAATTCCCTGCTTACTCAAACATACGGGAACACGTACCTTCATCCGTTGCATCCTGCGTCCGAAAGGATCGAAGCAGTCGACGAAGGCTATTGACCGGTTGATCCGGTAGAAGTAACAAGTACTCAAGGAAGCGTTCCTCGTTCTGACGTGGAAGAGATGGGGGAAAATATGTAGTGCTGGACACTATAGAACTGATTCAACTGGTGGGAAAGATGCGCCCTGTCGTTCAGCAGTATCAAGAAGTGTATGAAAATGTCTACCAACGAGTTCCGAACATTTCACTCACCAAAAACGGCTCGCTGTTTGGCGGTGTCAAAATGCTGGTAGCTCGAGCGAGTTTAGCAGTTGTTGAGCCGTCCGGCAAACTTGATAATTGTCTTTTGTCAACAACCGAAGCGATACCATCGGGGTGTGATTGGGCACACTGACGATCTACCCTTAATCGGTTACGAGATGTTTGCGGGTCCACGGCCAAGCTTGGCGAACGGGCCAATAGACACTTAACAAAAAGCGGTTCCTCTGTCCCGAGGATTTGCAAATTAAGAACGAAGTCACTAGTAGTGACTCAATAATACTGTTTTTCGACGGTCGCATGTGAATTAGTTCAGCCAGAATACAAATGCGTTTTCGTGGTTGGGTACAAACCGGATTTAGTCATACGCTTCGTGCGAGTTTTTTTTCAAAATCCGATAAATGTGTCAGCCGCATCGTGCTGAATTACAGCCATATTGATCATTCGGCNGAATGTGACCGGGATTCGCGGAAAGTGAGATGCGAAAAGATGCACCATTTTAATATGAGGACGTATAGTGCGTATACGAATACGAAGCGACGAGGGAAGAAATGAGTGAAAGAAAATGTCCAAGAGCGGAAGATGGACAAAACGCATGTGATAATAGCCGTTAGCTAGAGTATTACGAGTTGGTTGAGTTGATACACATACCAAAATTTCCGCACAGTCAAACTCAATCTGCACCGAGTCCTCAGGGAACTAGTGAATTCAACCTCCATACCCGAAGTGGTATTTGTGCTTGATGACTAACCCTCACAATCACAAACACTATCTGCGATCGTGTGGCATGTGTGGCTTGAAGCACAGTGATGCGAAGGAATGTGAACAATGTATTCAGTGATGTTAGTTTCGAATAGTGTTTGCAGATCATCACGAAATCGTCTGGAAACAAACCGCTGGTTGGAGTTTGGAATCGTCGAATTAAAAATAAAGTGTATGATTCCATTTCGCTTCATTCTAGAGCCGTAGCTATACGTTATGCGCCAGTGCTTTGAAATAAAGAAGTGAGACCGCTTTGGCCGTGTAGCGAGTCCAATCACCACAGTCGCGTTTATAGACGGTAGGAGAAAGTTGAGTTATTCGGTTGTTTTTTTTTTCAGCAAAATGTGGACCGGAGACGCAGTGCATTAATTGGGACTGCGTTTTTTATAACGTACGATGAGATGGTCGAAGAGACTGGACGTTACAGTGATGCGATGGTTCTTGCACTCTTCAACCACCCATAGTGATGGTATCCATAGGACACTCATGGAGCTTGTTGTACATGACCGGTACAAGGACAAACTAACACGGTCGCATGACCATCCGGGTCGGGATTTGTATGTTTGGCGATCTTGGTATCTATAAGATTAATGACAACTCCCGTCAACATCAGACTACGATGCAAATAACCTTTTTTCTGTGCCCCCGTGGTGATCAGTTCATTAGGCAGTGCTACGCTGACGAACACGGCATATAATCCAAGGGCTTTCGTCGAGGACTGTAGTCCTCTACCCTTCAGGGGTTTGGCGCCCTGCCAGTATTCCAGCCCACATACAACTATGAATTCCACAACTGTTCATAACCTTATTCGTTGCTTACAACGGGAGTTAAGCGGAAATAAGCCACTGCTGACGCCTCCTTCTGTTCTACGTCTTCGTTCTCTTTCCCTGTGACACACGATATTCTCATAAGCTCATCCCTAAGGACTGATGACTCACTCGACCTGATGTCACCGTTAAAAACATCTACACATCTAGCACAGCCACACGAAATCTCAAATCAATCTTCAAATCCAGATTCTCTCCTCATCTGCCTGACTTTATAGCACGCAGTGTAAAACAATCTGGATTGCAAGCTGCCCAAACTTGCCCGCTGGACTCGCTTTCCATTAATGAGTACCGTCTGTCTGAAAAGATGATCTAAAATACGGACAAGTTAGTCGAATGAGTCGTGCACATATCTGCCTACCTCCCAACAGACTGCCACCGACCCTATCAAAGGCAGACGTTTCGAATGCTGTTTTCATGTAGAAGGAAGTTCAGGTTGTTAAAGCTATGAATGCAGAAGGTACCTTATTCACAGTGCGGCTCAGTTGAACGGTTGCCTCGAAAACGATTCAAGATGAACGGACAACAGTGGACATCTGCCGTAATTATGTGCTGAGTATAAATAGTTTCTAGAAAGCAGCAACTCCGAAACATCTAACGGTGCCTAGTGAAATGATGCCCCTCTCCCCCGAGAAACCGAATTCAAGTGCAGAAAGATTACATCGCCGACAGTGATCGGTGGCGTGAACACATGTTGATTATCGTTCATTCTGAAATGTCTCTGAGGGTTCTGACTGCCCCTTCGTTACTTTAATATGCTGCATTCGAAGGTATATAAACTGCACATACATCAGCTAGACGACGAGAAGTCCACGGACCTCTAAGGGAAGCATGTTATTGCAGTAACTTTCCAAAGGTAAACACGGCACGATGGAAGGCATCAATAGGAAGAACCAAGAAACTTTGCTCACATAAATGCAACTTACCATGCCTATGTCCATCAGTCCTAAGCTTTCCAATAGCCTTCTTGAAATGGTCCTACTGTGACTTGTGTCATCAGTCACAGCATCATCATCATCGACATCTAAGTCGTCTTCTTCCATTTCTTCCTCTTCATATTCATCAGCCGTCGGTGACACGGGTTCTGGCTTTCGCTTTGCATCACTACTATCTTCCGTTTGTGACAACAAAGGCGAAGATTCCGATGGTGATCTAGGTGATTCACAAACAGTCTGCTCTTCAGACTTAATTTCGGGCTTCGACGGACTATTAGTATGTATAGATGTTGTGCCCCCTCGATAACTTGTTCGACGTCGACCATGGGGAGCGTCGATGGAACTTGGAAATGGTGGCAATTTTGAGTGCTCTTCAAGGTCTTTGAAGTTTGAACAAACGCTGTTGATTTTTTGGGTTATTTGATGGGCTGTAAGGACCTAGAAGTAGGGACGATGAAAACACAAAGGAAGAACTAAGTGGATAACACTGACGTGGGATTGACCATGGGACACGCAGATTAGAAGTCCGTAACAAAACTTACAGATTCGTGTGCAGAATACACGATCCCGTAGAAATCCAGACCCCCGAGGCCTAACTCTCCATCGCCATTGGCATTCGGACCGGTTGCCTGAATTTTGAAGAATCGCCAACCCTGCTGTTTTCCACTGTCTGTTGCATCTGGGTTTCCTTGTGCTATTGCTGATAAGTCCAGAGCCCAAGTACTGCGGCTGCCAGACTGCGGCTGAATGCTTACATCATTCACGTGAGAACGAAGGACCGTCCAAGTGATGGCATCGTTGGAAGCCTAAATGATGGAAGAGGAAACAATCATCTAACTGAGATCAACAAAACAGAACCGGTCTCGATCTCAGGTAAACGAAACGAAACCCCACAAATTGCGAGATGTTTCCCATATGATACCGCTTGTCAGTAATCATCTTACCGTTAACAATGCAATTGTAGTGGGTAGTTATGCTGTCATCGTGCACTGTCCATCACAGCACTGAACACCGATCTTATCATTTCTATTGATGTAGCACATCACCTGCAGCAACGCTCAAACCATCCAAATTCCATCATATTAGAGTTCGCTCGCCGCTCTTCGTCCAACCTTCACTCTCCGACTAAAGCCATTCTCTTGCTCATTTTCATACACCTACATTTACCTTTTCATTTGTATATCTGGAATGACTGACTAGTTTTGCTTGTTTTGAGCCCGCAAAGGTCTCAGTCACGATCAGCATCTTTGTAAGTCTCAAACTCACTCTACTCTGGAATACTGTTGTCAAATTTAAGGTAAGACCTTGTGTCTTACCCTGCCTACTCCATTCATCCGATAATAAGCCTGCACGGCCCAATGCCCTGAAATTTCCCTGACGGACAGCAGATAAAAAACCACGCACCGTTGGAACCTGGTCTTTCTTAATTTATTTCACGGCCACTAGCACAACGACAGTTTGCTAGGAACAGCATCGTTCGTTCACCTGTCTGATTATTTTAAGCATACGACACGCCAACTGGTTTCCAGTATCAAGTTCCGAACTCTCAATGTAGAGCTGAATTAACCACTTTTTTCTTCCTCAGAACAGCCTGTCCCTACTAGTTTACGGGTTCTCAAAGTCTCTCAGCGTGAACTCAATTACCACCCGTGCGTGTAATAGGAAGGAAAGATAGCAATCTTGCCAACTGCCGTACAACTCCGCAAGACCCGTCATTTGAGTATATTTAAAATGTCACTTTGGACCGCCCCGTTTGTAAAGTCGCTGTCGACCATACATACTGGGTGAAATGCCACTAAGGCTATTCAGTCCTTTCTGCACGATTTAACCGCCTTCTATCTTACAGTTCCCAAAAAGTATAAAAGCTACGCATAACAGGCATTGGGGTTTCATTATATGAATGAAAAACTACGATTCTTAATTGTGATGTTCAACATTAGTAAGCCCACCCCTAGTTGGTAGCTCGACACTCGATACACTTAACTAACCTCGAAATTCGTGATTATTGCTCTAAAATAGACACCTTTCAAGGGAAAACCGATTTTTGTACGCCGTACTATCTGAGAGGTTTGATTATCTTGATCAGCACATGGTGGCTACAGTGTACGAGTGGGAAGTACATACAGCAACCCAATTGAAAGTGCGTGTGAGAGTTATGTATCTGCTTCGAACAATAGGGGTTACCGCGTTTACTAACCTGTGATATAATCTCAATGCTAAACACGACTGGTGTACATATTATACAGAACCCACAGAACACGCTTCGCATCACAACTAAAGTCTATGGCTGACAAGGTGAAAACGGCCCAGTCGTTCACTGCGAAGGACCATTAGCCAGCGAGGGACCTTGACTGGATGTAGAAAAAGAACGAATTAATGAAGTTACTAGGAGTTTGTTTAGTAGTATGTCTTTACAGTAAAATACAGTCTAAAGATCAAGTGTGGAGCCGCACCTTAGTGTAGGCAAGAAAATCGGGGTGTAGTCGAATAGACTATTGGTGCCTCATGTTGTAATGATGATCGCCGATTTGTCTGGCAATTTGGTTGCATAATTTTGTTCCGTTTACAAATCCTTCATACTTCTTCGGAAGCATCAGTTTGGCTCGGAAGACAGAATGGTGACAGTTTCGGTTGTGCAGATGGTCAGTGTTATGTTCGCTGGCGAAATAAACAAAGACCATCAGAAAATCGGTTTATTTCGAGATTGAACGCTGCCCACCTACGTCACTAGGGTGCATTCAGAGACTAGCCGAGACTCCAACGGGCATAGAGGGATAAATGCTAATTGGCGTCAAGTCACAGTCGAATAAGCTAGTCAGGTTATTCGGTGAACTAAGAAGATTGACGCAAACAGAGTCCACACAACTATCCTTCTATTATGTCGACCGCGTGTGCCACTGGTCTGAGCTATTAAAGGGATTACGATGATGGCCGTTAGGTCCCTATACACTAACCAACAGTGATCATACAATGAGTACGGATGTGCTTTTGTTGGTGTATGACAACTCGCCAAATCGATCCCAATTAACTTCTATTAACTAACCCTTGAGATACACCTTGGAATGACAGCAATGGTCCTGACCATTTCTTGAGTACTTCATCCCAACTTTCGCTTCCGGCAAACTGGGGAGTTTTCTGTGAAGACTGGCCAATTCACTGACAAGCAATCTACGGGTGTCCATCTTTATTTACTTTCGTTTCCAACCGCACAAAACACCTCCCGAATGTTCCTATCGTTCCCGGCTAATTATTTCATTATGATATGCGCGCAAATGAAGTGAAACACAGAGCCCAAGAGCGTTCTCAGTGAGTTTGGGGAAATTACCATGTACGAGATCGGGCTAAACTACCTGCTTCGCCTGGAATGATAGTCAATAAATTCGTTATCGAAAAATACACAAACACCACCCACCTCCAAATTCCAATTCCGAGGAGCAACGGGAGTCGCGGACACCTCTGCCTGTCTGAGATAAGCCAAACTGTAAGCGGTAGGTAAGAGTTGCAGCCCGAGATCCACTGCGAACCAAGCTCTGTTTTCTTGATTCGCCATCAAACTGGAATTCAGGCCAAATTTGTTTTTGTTATTCTCAACTTGGGTAGGCGTTGTACTGAAGTCCGAAATACGTCGGGGCCGGGCAATGGACCCAAAACCGGTGCACCGTACGGGATAGTTTCCAATAAGAGCGCCAGCACGAGGACCGAGAATGTAAGCCGCTGGATTTCCGGCAGAAGATGCCACAGTTACGAGACCAATAAAGCCGGGATTCGCCCAGTCATCAAAGGGAAGCGTGCCACCATTGGTTGCCAACCAATCAATTATTCCCCCAAAACAGTCAGCCGAAGTGACTCCGTTCATGGGCGGCGAAAAGACGATGCCCCTGCCAGCAGCCCTTTCCATTTGAGACCAAAAGCGCAGAGTGGTACGTGGACTTTCGTACCTGGGTTTGTGTCGGGCAGAAAAAGAGCATTCCACTGAGCATATCCATGGTAGTTTCATCGACGTGTTCAGTGTCTATTCGAGTTTATCACCATATTTTCCAGTTTGACAGTCGACAAGAACGTTTTGCAACATATTAGGGACAGACAAAACCTAACCTAGTTTGCTAATATTACATTTACTGCTCTCAGAGGATCTGGTAGAAATCAAGAGATCAAACAAGAGCTACTTGTGAAAAGATCGCTAGTCAGGTTGGGATCTCGAAATAACCAGAAATTCCACACTAACTAAACTAATGGGTGATAACACAAGAGAGACAATTACGGAGGCCCAACTTACCATTGTCTAGAAGACATACGAAGGAGAAAACGCTCCAACTGAGCTACAGTAACAAGAGGACTGGCACGAATATGCGCGTTGCTCCAATCAGTCAAACACTGGGTTGAACTTGTTTTGTGTTCGCCGGTCGGCAGCATCTCTAACTCCAAGGAAAATCGCCCCTCAATTTGTCGAACCCAAGGCACGGTACATTCACTCTCATCCTGCTTGGAAAACAGCTGAGAACAAAGCGTGGGAATTATCGCGATCTCAAGTTCGTCTATACAGTCTGTAAACTGTTGATACTCGTGGAGATTTTTTGGCAAAAATGAAGGATGGTTAGGGGATGAGTTAGCTGCACGGATAACGCCGAGAGGTAAGGAAACCAGTTCCTGATTTGTTTCGAGAAGCGGAGAAGTGGGAGTTGTGGGGAGAGTTTTGGAAGCTGCCTCTCCAACGTCGGGAGTATCGCATGGGGACTGGGTGTTCAGGCATTTATTAGACATCAGTGAATACAAACGCAGTGGAAGATGTTCCGTCAGTTCCAATGCTTCAACCAGACGTCTCGTCAAGACTCCCAAACAACTGAAACCCGCGTTTGGTAACAAATGTTTGATAAAAGTACGCCGACGTTCACGGAGGTACCATAGCAGCGATGTGGTTGCGTCGAGTCCAATTGGCAACACCTAAGTGAAAATAGTGGATAATAGTGATACCAGCACTAAGCAATTCGATAGTCAGACACAATCGGTATTTCACAGCAAAATGGGTTCTTATTCAGTCTCAAAATGAGCCATACTATGATACGTCCACAATCCTAATGCGAACTGAGGTTCACTGCACTTGAATCCATTTGTTTGCCATTACATAGAAGCGAGGAGGAGGAGAATATCTTGTTTGCTCCTGTGTGTGTGCACTTGAACTGATGAGTTGATATCTAAAAAACCACTGTAAAGCTGAGTTCGTTCGACCGGTCAAATCAAAAACTAACCGAGAGTCCTATGATCTGTCCGGTTAACCCAAGAAATAACAACAATCTGAACGGTTATGTTACCCAATCTTTGGTAGGTGGGAGCTGTGAGCGCGGTGAGTCTGTTCTACGAAAATTAGTGAATAACATTAATCGCGTTTGATTAGAACACAATTACAATGCAGACAGTCTAGATGTGACTGTACAACTGGTTGATCGACATTCTTGGGACAAATACGGCACCTGATAAGTAACCTGGCAGGTGGTAGGGTGGTTGGTGACTGAGACAGCGGTTGGATCTCGCTGGCATGCGGCATGAAGACATTTTTGATGCCAATATTTCCAGACACAATCATTTTGACATAGATGAGATGTTACAGGACAACAGCTGACTTCTCGCAGTGTGCTGATAACCCACACATGCTGTCATATGCCACGTGATTGATACTTGGATGGAGAGTTCTCTTTGAGGGGCTGTTATAGGACAACACAATTTGAGTGCGACACGTCGTCTCTCTCTTCAGAGGAAAATCAGCCACGTTGTGGGAACCAGGGGCACTTAAATCCAAAACAAGAAGAACAAAAACTGACAAGTGATTGAACAGAAAATCTACCGGGAACATAACTGTCCCCAAACCACCTACACCTCTTAAATACCGAAATTTGAAGGGCACAAACAAGAAGCCAGAGACCAAGGCCGCTAGAGTTTTTAAAACGAGGATGGGATTTAATGCGAACACCATATTTAATACAAGCGTACTGAGAAGCGTACAACCAAAATACTAAAATCCATGCGTCTTAGAACTTCCAGCCAAACCTGAAGAGTATAACACGAAAGACAAACGACTTCTAACAAAACTATTGATATTATTAGTCACTCAGTATTGTTTCTTTACTATTATTTGCTTCACAGTTATGGTATGTGAGTCTCCTGGACTTTATATCAAATTGGTGAAATAAAACCGTAGAGAGATCAGCACATAATCCACCGGTTCGTTCAGATTAGCCAACCTGTAGTTTCTTTAAGTTCACAGTATTGCAGAAACATTCTCATGCGGGTAGGAGTCAGATTTACTAACGAAAAGTGTAACTGCGGAAGATATAATGCATTGGAAATTACTGCCAGACTGATTGGATTGGTGCCCTATGAGATAAGCCGCACTGTTTTCGACACCCTAGTGCAATTCTACTTCGCTTGGATTCGCCAGTCCAAAAAAAGTAATTCACCAGTACAGAATTTCGAGGACTGAGGTGAATTCAGACGTTATCCTCCGAAGCGAAGCTCTGGCAACAAGGTGCTCAAACAAACTCAACGCAATGAATACTTTACTAAAGGTTCAGATCTAATGGTTACCTGGTCGATGAGACAACGCTACTATGTGTTGGGTTCTTTTGTCCGGGTAAAACTTCTCCGAATATTCTCTACCACGGACTTGTTAAAACAGTCCTGATCCACTCGTTTTAAAACATCTCCCATGCTGGCTTATTTTGATCGCTTCCTCAATACGTAGACTCAGTTTCCATCGTTAAGCTAATTATGGCTGGAGCAAAGTTGTATTCGTCTAATGTACTAGAATCTTCACGTTCCAAAACTGAGCGAAAACGGAAAAACGACGGGTTACAAGGCGCTGTACGTAATCTACAGCCCCCTGTGCCTCGGAGAAAAGTTACAATTATCTGAAAACGGGCAAACTTAACAGCAAGTGTTAGAGGAAATGAAACGGAAAACAATCCATGGCAATAGGGGCACAAATGCAACCCCCTAGCAAGAATTAATGCGTGGACTTACTGGACAGTTCCAACGATCTGCATATTCGGCAGACAAACACAGCAATAAGCTTGGGACCAATCCGCTGACGATCAACTCATAGGCCGTTACAGCCTGTTCACCTAAATTCAACAGGTCGGCCAACCGTGCGAATACAGAAGAGAGTGTGCGAAGGGTGAGGGATGACTGTGAAGACTTGTCTGCAAAGAACGCACGCCATATAGACCCAACGATAGATCGCAGTCCATCCAGGCTACGGCGATGGCTTAGGCTGGCAGAGGGCATATCTGTTACCTCTTCAGCAGATTGAAGAAGAGCGTAGAGTGCACTCGAAATTTTAATTGCCTGTTTACGTATGGTTTCAACACGTAGGGTTGCTCGTTCTTGTTGGTCCTTGGATCTAGAAAGAGAAATAAATATATCACTGGAAAATACTCAATTATCAAAGGGTAGACAGAAGAGGGAACTGGAAACTTGGCAGCGTGATGACCTGAAGTGAAGAACGTTTAACACTACCTGGCAGTAATTGGTGTACAATGGGTGTTTTCTAGGCGTTGACACAGAATGGCTACAAAGAATATCCGATCAGTCATGCATATAGGGTAGCAGAATATGTTCGCTTGAAAATACCTAATGTGGGGTTTTACGCCCGTATTGAGTTCAAAATAATGTGAAGTGGATCCACGAGCTTGCATAGGCGTTTGACACTGTCAGTTTAGAACGTGATGGATGAATCCTGACGCCTCGCCCTAAGGTTTGTCCCTGCATCTATCCAATGACAAAAAGAGCGTTAATGACGTTGAGATTAATGGTTTCTAAGTGATGCGCGTTAACGGCGCCCTACCTGAGAAGCCGAAGCAGTCTGCTGAGGGAAATTACTGTGTACACATCAGATTCAGAAACAAGTGACACGCAATTTCTCCCCTTCAGTCGAAAAACAAAGACGTTAGTGTAAACCACACTGATGACCTAGATCGATATTTTGAGTACCGCTTGCAGAAATTAAACATTTGGCACACCAACAGTTGGTAATTTTATCACCACGATTCTGCAAAAAAAATAACGTCCGGGAGATTGTATTTTGTTAAAGCTTGTTGAGACTGAACTTATTAGCCGGCGGGATAAGTGTGCGGTGATATAGCGTATCTGGTTACGCGTGACAAAAAAACAGAAACTGAATAAAACTAGGAGATTACACAATGTACAGAAATACTCGTCTAGCTCTATTCTCATAGAAACTATCCTCAGTGAAGACTTTCGACATTTTCTAAGGATAGTTCTCAGAGGAAACTCTAAAGAATGCTCAACCGGGACTAATTTTATCCTTCTAGGTTTTTCAAATAATATGTTTCATGTAGAACACAGTAAATTAGGTATTAAAGGAACGCATTTTTTTAATTCGATGTCAGACGTTAGTACACTGAAGCGTCAGAAGGTCGTTTGGTTCCTGGAAAAACGCCCATCAGCCACGTTCCGCCAAATCAATGCTGTATTGACCTATGAACTGTGAGTCGATTTTCGGACGACAATGTCTCACTAGAGTGAACTTTACTGCAAAACGGGAGAGTCCCAGCCTCAAAAGTGTGAGATGGAACTGCTCCATCTAGAACAAACGCATGATTTTTAAGGTAAATCTGTCAAAAAAGTGTGAATGGCAGATGGCGCTACGATGCGATTTCAGAACAACTGATAACAAATGCGGCTGGTTCACGGAATGAGCCGGATAGGATAAAAATAGCGGAAATAGAATCAGCCGCATCACTGTATCAAGCCAGCCTCCACCGGAATCGTGCAGCACACTCGGTACAAATGGTTTCAATTTCTGGTGACCAGTATATAAGTTTATGAAAGTTTCCACCATCCAGAAATATGCACAAAAGAACCGATAACGAAACAACCCAGTCTTCTCATTGTGTTTTGTCAGCAGAGATGAATTATATGACCAGCAGTGGGTGAGAATAGAGGACTCTTCCTGAAGGAAACTCATTGGAATCGCCTAGCCCATTGTTATCACAATGGTGCATGAGGTAAGGCATAAGGCCATTCTTTTACATAACCACACCAACTGAATGTGTTAAGACACCTGGACGGAGGTTGTTTATGTAGCGCCCGAAATAAGCTGACGAAGACAAATTTGCTGTTCTTGCAGCGAACATTTACGCTCATGATCAGCAGAACGTATCGGGTATGGATTTCTGAAGAAGGACCGAAATAGGGAACACTCTAGCGCAGAAGCTTGTTCTGACGTTGTAGATTAGCAACATCCGTTCGGTATAAAATTCTACCTCTGAAAACGCATCCTCACGGAACCATAAACATCGTGGAAAGCAATTCCATTCCACAAGAAGTGCAGTTTGTAGAATAGGAATGCTTTATTCACCACACAACATTCTAAATCAAAGGCATCTCGGTGCACCGCTACCATAAAAAATACCGATCGCTATGTGGGCGGGTAACGAGCAAAAAACTACATTTGTATGACTAGTAGATCTCTCTGTGCCGGACAAAACTAAGCATGGGAACGACGATATCAAGCTTTCGGCTACGCCCATACAGGTGTGGCGTGAACGAACAACAGCATACCCATGAATTTGTTTGAGGTCTTCCTTGAATTTACTTGGAAGAGATCAAGCAAGGGACGCTGGTCGATATAAGGTGCTGCGAACATCATCGGTATGAAGTAAGCGGCGTTTAAGGTGAACGGAAAACGAATAGTCCGTTATCAGAGCTCTATACCGACGTGTCCTTTTAACGTCCGTTGTCGGTTAAGAAAACGTTGTTCCCAATTAGATGAGTCGTTGCTGATTTGTTCAACCAGTTAGCCTACTAATCAATACAGTCAAACAGTGTTTTACAGTTGCCTCTGGAGCCTTCCAGTTAAATCATTCGTAAGCCGATAAGGCTACGACACATCGTGCCGTAAACTAGCTGAAATAAATTCAGGATGAGTTCGAATCTGTCACAATCATTTCGACTGAACGAAAAAGGACTTAGCTGTAGTTGCTGACAGCAACGGATCGCAACTAAGAAAGAGCAATCATCACATGGGGACCGTTCGAGACTGATGCTTCTAAACAAAGCTGTAAAAAACGAAGGGAACTCACTCTGCACGTAAATACTCCGAATCCCCCCGAAGCCAATTGGACAGAGGTCCACTGGTGTAGGTCTCACATACTAACTCGCGAGGAAACAGCAGTTCATCCAAACGCTGCAGCTCTCTGCTTGTTTCTAGAGACACAGTCTCCACGTTCTCCAAATTTGTGATTGAGCCCTCAGTAGTGGATTGTTCCCGATGCAAACCAAATAGTAGGTCGAAGTCATACAACTCCGGTGGGTCTGCGTTGGCCATATGTGTCTCCTGAGATGAGTTCGATCCATCCGAATGAAGTTCAGAATCTAGCTCAGATAGTAAGGTGGATAAACTTAATGAGGAACGACAAGAAGGCGTGGCTTTATAGTGTTCTTTCTGTGAGGCACAAAGTGGAGAACTTTCAACTGAAGTGCCTGCAATCACTGGAGCATTTGCTACGGTTGAAGGTGCGTCACAGTAGAGAGGTGATATACGTACACGACTGAACCCGATCTCACAATCTTCTGAAAACAAAAGTGCCTCAGAAATCGGGGTAGAGCCAGGAGAGAGTGGAGAACTAGGACAGCGCATTTGCAAACACAACCGTGTTCCGTGTAAGACTTGACGAAGGCTACATATCACGGGCCCTATAATAGCAACGTTAGAGACTTTTCGAACTTCCGCCTGGGTGTTACGCGAATGCCCGACAAACGGGCGAGAGGAGATGCAGACGCGAGCTGGCGAAGACGCTTGACGTTGAAGAGAGGACTTATTACTTGTACGACTGTTTTTATCTTTAGGTTCGTAAGGGGGATCGGGTGGACGCCGAAGACCAAGGTGTAGGCCGATTCGGTGCAAATTGCGTTTTCCTACGTGCGATCTGTTTGTAGGCGAACGGGCCATGGCACGGGACGAAAGCGACCGGGGTTCGTCTGCTGTGGTGGATTCCGGCTTCGTTTCGGTAGCCCAGAGTGCAGTCTTCTCAGAGTTATTACACGCATCCACCAAGTGTTGGTGCATTCGAAACATATGATGTTTAAGACCTGGTTTGGGGAAAAACGATACGCGGAGAGTTACGAGCAGTGTAACAAGCATTTCTGATTATTAACAAATAGGTGCAGTGACATTATTTTGGGCATAGACGCCCATGCAACTTTGCACAACCTAGTCCCTTTCGAACTTCCACAGATACACTTTCTGTGTCTATATCCAATGTCCGCTCTCACGGTAACTTTTGAAAACATGTAGTCGATACAACTATTTTATCATATACTTTAAAATAAAAGGGATTTATCCTAAATGTTGTATATTTGCACAATCAGTCGGCTGAGAAGCACAAAATCTCTGAGGTGATTAGTGTGAAGTACAAGGCCAACCGACTAAACAATGTCAGCATGAACATCCACATCAACCTATTGAGCACAGTAACGGTAGTGCTGTTTTCGGCGAAGAGTATGTTGACCAGCGCATAACCTCGTAAGAACCAACAGACAAATAAACCGATAATAGCAGACGTAGATAAACTGGATTGTGTTGATTCATCCAGGTTCACTAAACTAGAGTGAATAAGTACAGTTTCCGACCTAACAAGAGTACAGGAACTTTTTGAAAACCTAGACTTCGCCTATCAGTCTCTGGCCACCGCTCCTTACTGACTACCAGTTCGGTCAGCTACATAACAGACTCAGCCGTCAACGCGACATATTAGGTCGCAGCCCACCGGATAGCGTAGTTCAAATATGCGTGAGGTTCCGTGATAAAAAACATGAGAGGTCCACCTGGATTCTAGGTGAGTCTCTCGAAAAACCAAATTTGTTTGCAAGTGACTGTACCTGGCTAATTTCGTGCAATTAAGTGTCCAGTAGAACATAAGGTTGACGGAGACTCGAGGACTGAGTTTACCTGATGAGCCTGAAGCAGGGCGAAAACGATCGTGGGCTGTCGAAGAATTTGCAGCATCCTTATGAGTAGTGTATTACGTCTGCACATGTATAGTGACATCTCGAATATCGTAACTGGAACATGAAATGGCCTGGTGCAGCACATTCCGTTGCTTAGAAAAACATCATAAACGAGAGAGCCAGCTGTGTTCTAGGGTCTATCGTAAAACCAAATTTGTGTGAAAATGAGTTTATTTTGCTAACGCATATAACTTATGGCAATCCAACAGACCCAGGTTAGAATCGCTGTTCACATGATTCAGAGGCTAATTCACCTGAGGTTTTTCTGGATAGTGATCCAACCCCACCGTCTTCTGAAATTAGTGTAAACTGAAAAAAAAGATGTTCAACCACTATTTTCGGGAATTTTCCGACTGTCTTGGAACGCTGTTACGTGCTCGTGTAGAATCAGTCCCTAGTCGTGAGAGATTGCTATATTCTTCATAACGCGTACCATTCATTCGGATGAGCGAATTTTAAAGGACATAAAACCAGGAATAGAGACAGACCACCTAGACAGCGTTTCTGCGCGTGGGAAAAGCAAATCACCAATGGACCATTCTGAATTTCAGTGGATAGTTTGGAAATCAAACGGCTGACTCGACCCGTTTCAAGTTTGTTACATTTTGGATAGCAGTCTCACTACATTTCTCGGTTACATTCGGTGAGACCAGTGATGGTTAGCAATCGATAGACTGAATCGTCGCACATGTATGCGTGAAAAAAGCGTGTGAAACTACACTGGATAAGTTATCCTAAGCACCAATCAAACCACATCGTATGATGGATCAGATTTCGGGTTACGATAAGATGTCTCCAACAAAGATGTCCCACAAAGAAATCGAACGTAGTCCACAGCAAATGGATGAATATTGATCGGTCACGTGACTTCATGTGATCGCTTACTCGGTCGTTCGACTGCAGGTTCACCAGGTTGCAATACAATCGGGATGCGTTCATGTGAACTGCCAGTGTGCACGGCCAAGGCTCGCAAACAACCGTCTGTCACATGAAGTTGTATGATGATAAAAGCGAATCGATTGAACACTGATAACAAATCGCCAATCCAAATAAGGTTCCAATCGTGCCAGGTATAGAACTGATTGCTGCTCAAACGTATCGCGGAAGCCAGCTGTGGAAGCAAGCAGAAGACGGTACATGTGCATATGTACAAAAATTTGTAGGAAACTTTGGGTATCAGGTTCATCCAAAAGCAAACCTGCTCCAAAGCAAACTGTTCAATGTTGCCCCGAAAAGAGAATCATAAAAATACTGTGCTATTTTTTCCATCCTGAAGGTGGAATACTAAAGGCGATTCAGCAACACAATCCCAGACCTTTTAGCCACAATCTTCGTGGTGTATACACTGAAACATACGGTCTTCTGTGTGCCAGACAGTGTAATCCCTGTTTTTAATGTTGAGAATAGTGTTGGGTAGTTGGTTTGTTCGCTGAGCTGCGCAATTTGATTGCAAACACAACACCGCCGACCAAGAGAGGAACAAATACAGGCTGGAAACGAAAAAATCTTATCATACAGAGACACGATACACGGAAGGAGGGTTTTCGAGACGTGGTACTCCACGATGGATTCGAACGCATTGAACTAGTTCAAATTTACGCAAAAATGCATGCAAAGGGCCAATATCTCAAACGGAAAACTCAACGACAGCCGACCAACAAACCGAGAAAGAAGAAATGCATCAGAGTCGGATCAACAAACGTCGAACACTAGAACCCAGAGCGTTAAGGACAGAGGTCACCTCAGCGCCGACCACAGTAAAAAACCAAGAGAGGTCAAGCTCAAAAATCAGGTGGTCATCCATCAATCAGGACACAGGATAAGAGAGTAATCAATGGAACCGCTCGACCAAATAGCCAATAATGATCGAAGGTCAGCCCAGTCTGGCAGCACGCACATGAATACACACGTAACGCAACTCAACGCACAACTACCGAGTCAACGCCACGTTCCACTACGCTCCCTAACAGCGCACTTAATAATGTCATCTTGATTGGTGATAAGGTAGTTGTAACCAAATTGTCCACCTCAGCGAGCAGACCAACGACAATCCACGCTACCTGAGGTATGAATATTTTCCTCAATATATACTAATCTATCGTTCAGCTGTAACACCTTTTCGGTGCCTAGCTGCCATGCCACCCGTAGGTTGCACGAGGGCTGAGAATATACAATCGATAGCGTGTTTAGAATAACATGATGAGATAGTTAATACATAACACGACCGGGATATCAAATCGAAATGCAAACATTTATCTACGCTGAGAAATTCCAACAAGAAACTTATGAAGATGCTGTGTTTCCGTTGAATGTCCCAAATGGTACAACTGTATTTCATTATGCCTCTGTCGGCTTTGTACGAAAACCGGAATCGCCGTCGTTCTAGCAGTTGGGCTACTGGTGGAGAAAGATCCGAAGTACAAATTAAATTGTCCAGTAAAAATAGCAGACATAGTTCAAACCACTCTCTGATATCCGAGAGGGTTTCTCTTCCCAAGAGTCTGCTGCTCCACATCTTTAGTAAAGATTTACGGAGGGTAGAAACAAATACTAACGTAAGACATATGTTTCTTGACGGTACCTGTTTTCAAATCCTTATTTCATCACCTAACAGGAGTCCTGATAGACGGCATATTGATAAACACAACACCTTTTGAAAACGTGAAAAGCTTTCACGGTGAGTCTCCAAGCCCGGCTTCTTAGTGTTTAGACAATGTTATGAGGTTTATATACACCGTACTTGTCTAAATGATATTTGTTTTCCCCGAATAGACTTGTACATACTAACGCACGGGATCCAATATAGAGGACCCAATATTCAGCTAGCATGTGTCATCATCATCATCGACAGCATGACATCAGTGTTCAACACCGATGCTCCACTGTCGTACAATCATGATTTAGTTGAAAGCCTTATTGTAAAGAAAAGGGTAAGGGTGGACAGGGAACTAGCATGTATTGAACAACAAAATGGTCTAAGACGTGAGATTTTCGGGTTTAGTTCCAATCGTTCACATGAAAAAGCATTATAGAAAGATACCTCAACCACTGCGGTTAACAGTGGATTTACAGATGAGGTACCAGAAAATGTGCCACTTCCACCTGACCAACGTGAAAAATAAACGCACTTTTAGCTAATGAAGGACCTGAAAGATCATATGAATTTAGTTCTATTCCAAAATTCACATTCCTAACTCCGCAAATATTTACAAATGTAGCGAGAAGAGTAGCTGTGGTGTTAGGCGATGGTGAAATATGCTTCTGAAAAAAGCACATGTGGTCATTTAGCACATACCGATACGAGTGTACTCCAGTAGGTATGTTTGACCAAACTCTCAGGGAGGTTCCCGCGAAGCTTGTTTGCATGTATGCATGTGACTTGCTTGCTTACTGGTGGGCGTGAGAATAAGCAGACGAGCGCAAAGGTAAGCAGCTACTGTTGAGAGATCATACTGCTTGAGCACATACTTCAGTATCTATGTATCCAACAGCCTTATTTGAAGCAGACGTCCGTCGTGACTTATTTTAATGTTAAGCCATCCAAGTCGGTGAAAAACCCGACGCAATTGCTACATTGGTTACCACGTTACTACCAATACTTGCCCTTCCAACCGCAAATTCTGATTTTCGCCATCATTTGCCATACTTTTCGTGCTCAATTAGAGCTATCGTGATTTTGTGAGAATCGGGGTTCAGGTAAACAGAGTTGGACGTACATTCTCGAGTATCAACAGCAGAATCGCTCAGAACCGTTCAAACGAATACATCCACACTAACTGACACATAATGGCAGACATACGAAACCAGAGCAAGAGGAGCAGAAGATGAAATACTGATCTACCGGGTGATGATGAAAGGACTAGTCAATGAAGGTTGCATATACTGTGTCTGGAACACAACTGGTGTGTACACGATACAGTGGTTGCAATCGTTATGACCGTTCCTTTGTTAAAGTCCACTGTGCGTGGAAAGTAAAAAAATGTTAGCCTTTGACCACCATTGCCTTCAAATCAGTGTACGTATATGGTGGGAAAATCGAACTGGCAATGCGGAAGCTCATGAAGTGGTTTCTGAAAATTAATCCACCGAGTATCCTATCTTGGAAGCCTGATCCAACTGCACCAACCGCATTAGCCTGGTCAATTGCTTTCTATACCAGCCGATCGATCGCCTCGCCAGGTTATGGTCACCGAAATAGGTCTCTATGGGAATATACCGTAAGAAGTGCTATTTAGTACTAAGGTTCAAAGCAAGTAAAACGTAACGACGAGTTTCGGTAATGTTGCTCCAAGTTATCCGCCAGTTTAACGCAAATAAAGGCCCACACAACAATGGCTGAAAGCCCTACCGAAACGGCAAAATCACCGAACCAGTGGCGTTAATGCGTCTATTCCCCTGCTTTTAGTAGTTGAACAGTCATTCGTTTTATTCTTTGGTTTGATTTCCATACCAGAGACGGTCTCCCTAAAGCTAGACTAACCTCTGCCATATATATATATATATATATATATATATATAGCTCTCGACCC